TCATTCTGAAATCTCCCAGGCCTTCGGGGATCTGCCCTCCTCTGACACAGCATTTGACACTAAGCACTGTCCACCTAACACTGGGTGCAGGAGTTGGTACAGTTAGGACAGCTTCTTGGAGTAATCTGTCCTTTGGGAAATGCTTTGTTTCAGAATTGGACCATTTTAGGGACATTAGACAGAAAACTACAAACTTTCCCTGCCATCTCCTTGGTAAGAAAAGGATCATTATACAGACAGTTCCTGACTTACCAGGGTTCAATTTAACACATTATTTCATTGTTAAAAATTAAAAAAAATTATTTGAAAGAGAGAGAGAAGTGGAGATAGATCAATATCTTTCATCTGTTGGTTCACTTCCCAAATGCCCTCAATAGGCAGGGTGAAACTGGAAGCCCAGAGGTCAGTCTGAGTCTCTGTGTGGACAGCAGGCACCCAACCACTTGAGTCACCATCTGCAACCTCTCAAGGCATGTGTTAGTAGGAAGCTGTAATGAGGGGTCGAACCAGGACTCAAGTCTAGGCACTCAGATATGGATGTGGGCATCCCCAGTGGGGTCTTAAGTACTAGGCCAGACCCTCTTAAAGGTTGTACCTACACAACCATTATATTTTTCACTTTCAGTGTTGTATTCAGTAAATCATAGGAGATAGTCAACACTTTAAGATATCTTAGTATTAGATTTTTTCCCCCCAACTGTAGGCTAATGTCAGTGTCCTGATTATAATATGCTGGAGGTAGGCTTGACTAAGCTATGATGTTTGGTAGGACAGATGTATTAAATGTATTTCTGACGTAGCTGTTTTCAGTTTAGGAGGGGTTTATCAGAACATAACCCCATCACAATGGAGGAGCATCAGCATTTGTTTGGCAGGTAGCAGGTGCTACTGTGCCTTCTTATCCTGGATTTAGAAGGACCCTAGAATTCTCTGGAGTTCTTAAGGACCTCACATGCACTTGAACTGAGGACCCACTATTGTGATGGGTCAGTGTAAGAGCCCTCTCTTGCCTGTTATTTCCGTTATTTTTTATTTTGTCTCCCATCTACAATCCCATTCTTTTTTCCCCTTTCAGACTTCCACTCTTGAATATTTAACCTGTGTACTTTTTTTTTTTTTTTTTTTTTTTTTTTGACAGGCAGAGTGGACAGTGAGAGAGAGAGACAGAGAGAGAAAGGTCTTCCTTTGCCGTTGGTTCACCCTCCAATGGCCGCCGCTGCAGCCGGCGCACCGCGCTGATCCGATGGCAGGAGCCAGGATCCAGGTGCTTTTCCTGGTCTCCCATGGGGTGCAGGGCCCAAGCACCTGGGCCATCCTCCACTGCACTCCCTGGCCATAGCAGAGAGCTGGCCTGGAAGAGGGGCAACCGGGACAGAATCCGGCGCCCCGACCGGGACTAGAACCCGGTGTGCCGGCGCCGCAAGGTGGAGGATTAGCCTATTGAGCCACGGCGCCGGCTCCATTAACCTGTGTACTTTCAATCTGTTTTATTAATCTGTGTCTTTAGACATTTGTGTGTTCTTGAAAAATGCAAGGTTTGGTGCATGTGTCTGGGTAATCTGTGGCACATCGGTAAAAACAAAATTAAAAGGACTATGATTTAGAGATTATTGATATCATTATTGTCATATCTTGCTACTTAGGAATGCTTGAAGTCATATAAATCAACAGCTGGGAATCACTCATCTACAGTCCCTGTTTTTTCTTTTTAAATATTAATTTTTTATTTATTTGAAAAGCAGAACTATAGAGAGAGGAGGAGAGAGATAGAAAGAGAGGTCTTCCATCCACTGGTTCACTCCCCTAAATGGCTGCCATGGCTGGAGCTGGGCCGGGCTGAAGCCAGGAGCCTGGAGTGTCTTCTGGTCTCACATGTGGGTACAGGGCCCAACAACTTGGGCCATTTTTCTGCTCCTTTCCCAGGTACATTAGCAGGATCTGGATTGGAAGTGGAGCAGCCAGGACTTGAACTGGTGCCCATATGGGATGCTGACACTGCAGGTGGAGGCTCAGCCTGGGGAGCGGGTTAGCGTCCGGGGCGGGGACAGCTCGCTGTGGTAGGGAGCCGCGCCCCCCCTCCCCCGTGCATCCACCTCGGGCAGCCCGCCACCCCCCACCCAAGCGTACACACACAGCC